TATTATGTTTACTTCAATTAAATTAGTGTTAAAGATGTCCATTTCCAGTGTAATAACCCCTCTAATACTTCTTTGGTATGCCTCTACTTTTTCTGAAACCATCTATAGTTAACCTCTCACATTTCTGCACAAAACTTTTTTTCTTGATAAATACATAAACATATTTTTATTCTTAATAAAATATTGCTCTTAAAGAATCTCATCCTTTAAAATTTATGGTTAAGACATAAAATGACTAAAAAAATATGTTTTGTACATAAAGCTTCACAAAGAATAAAACTTACAAAAGAAATCGTATTAAATTATACAAAGAAGTAAAATCGTCAGTCCTTTCAGAATTAAAGAACATCATAAGCACATTACATCACAATTATTTATTTTCTCCTGCTCCTGCTTGACTCCAATGTATTGTAACTTATAAGTGAACTCTAGTATGTATCGAGCTCATATTAAATTTACATTCATTCAAGAATTCGAATTAGAAATATGAATAGTAGTAATATATCAAAAGAATTTTTTTAATTATACTCTCAATAAGTATAGTATTTGAACAGTGATATATAGAAATTAACTTGTTGAATCATTAGTTTCGAAAGTTAAGAAGTCACATACTATTTGCAAGATTATTGATACCAATAAATGTCAATAGTTTCATTAAAAGTGTAGGTATTGAGGGGTGTTGTCCGTTTTTACTTCCACTGTAAGGTCATAGACACGTTCCTTTGTATAATTGTGGATAATGATTATATGTAACGATAAAAATGATTTTTTCTAATTCATTTATAAAAAATTAATTTATCTGATTAATTATTGATAAAAATGAGATCAAAAGAAAAATAAAATAATAAAAATAAATAAATAAATTCTATTTTTGGAAAAAGAGAGGTGTTACATCACTCTTATTTTGTCTAGCTAAACTATATGTAATGTAAGAATTACGTAAAAAGAATTGACGAGACATATTAATAAATAGAGGATACAAAACGATAAAAGTTTTTTTTGTAACTCATGAGATATATAATTAGATGTAATAAATATAATAGATTCTTTTAATTATTGATTATATTAATTAATGAAAAAAAAGATAAATGACTTTCTAGATCATAAAAAGTGACCACACCACTTTATCTATATCTAACTTTACTATAGATATAAATGTGACAAGAATAGTAAGACATTGATGCAATCAAATCTGACAATTTAAACCTTTCTAAACAAATCACAATTTCAGGAACTTAATTAAGAAAAAGAAACAAATTAATTGATTATATATGTTTCATCTTGACAGTTGACATTTTGAAATTTCTCTCTTTTACTTATTTTTTTTTTGTTTATATGAGTTTCTTGTTCTATTTTTGTTCCTATTATTTTTCATTTGGATAATTTTATTGTATTTATGTAATTCTATCTCTTTTTTTTAGTTACATTTCAAAATGATTTTCGGTTCCACATCCCTTTTCAATTATTTATTTTTTGCCTATTTAATATTTTCAGTATTTTTCCTTTAAGATAATTAAGTTAGTTCATTTTTTTGCTTCAACTAATTTTTAGAGGAAAATTCAAAAATTAAAATTTTCTGTTAGTTAACTTTTCTCTGTATTTTTTATGATATAGAATTATATTGATAATTATAATTGATCATCTTCCTTTTCTATATCTATTATTTATTTTAGATTATGAAGATGACATGTCAATAAATTAAAATACATCAAAAAAATATTCTAATGTGTCTCAAGAGTTTTTTTGTTGATGAAAACTTTAATTAGTGATCGATCTTACTTTTATAATTTTGTATGACTTTTTTTAAATCTATCTTTCATTGTTTGTTTTTTTTTGTTTGCATCTTTCTCGCGAATACAAATATTAAATCAAATTTAGAAAGCTCAAAACATTAAACAATATTATCTCCTTGATCATCAAATAAAAATAGTTCTAAAATATTTTGTTGAGATTTGAGTAGGATCAATTACAATTTTAAATAATTACTCTTTCATACAAATATGACAGTCTCTTCATACTTATTTTTTTCCCTTTTTATATTTTATGAAAGTTGCTATTCTTTTCTTTAATAATGAATCAACCTTTTTTTTCACCTTTCACTAATCTTAGCTTATAAAATATTTATAAATCACTTTTTATCTTGACTAATTTTTACTACAATTATAATATACGACATATTTTATTTATATAAAATGAATAGATTGAGAAATACATAACCTCAATTACATAAATACTATAAAGTATTCAAATAAAAATTAAACTCAAAGTATTATATGTATAAATTAATATTCCTTTAACTTTAGTTATATGTTAGTTAATATTTCTAAATTATTCTAAAAGGTAAGCATAAACAAAAAATCTGGAATTCTTGAATTCTCAAATTAATTTTATTATTCTCAACTTAATATAACAACACAAAAATTAAATTCATTTTTTGTGAAGGAAAAAAAACATATACAATGTTGAATCAATAAAAAAAATCTTGAAGGTCTATATATGAACTAAACGATTCAAGCCTTCAAGGTTAAAAGCAATTTACCTGAAATTTTTTAAAAAATATTTAGTATAAGAATAAATTAAAATTAATTAATAAATAAAAGATTTTTTGTAGAAGTACCAAGGAAGATGATCCTTTCCTCTAATATTTAATTTGTCGACATAACCAACATCCAATATATCATTGAAGATTAATGGACAAATTAGTAATTGAGGGGATCCTTTACTGATTTGTTCATCAAACTTAAACTTAAATCCCTAAATATTATCATATGCATCTTCCATTATAAACAATAAAACTTATTCACAAAAATATGCATGGAATAATAAGTGTAGTAAAATCAATAATAATGAGGGGGAAAAACAACACAAATGAAAATAAATAAATAAGAAAGAACACTATAAATAAGAGGCATCAAACAAACTAAAAGGAGAAGAGTAACATAAATTATATATAGTACTCATCAAAATTGAATTTGAATTTGGAATCCCAAAATTGCCATATGCTCATCTTATCTTCTACACTGTAAATAATAGAAGTTAGTGACAAATAATCTATATATAATAAATTATAGTTAATTTTTGCAAAATATTAAGGCAGGAAAATAATGAAAAAGGCACAAACTGTAGTGAGGAGAAGAAAAAAAAGGATGAATAAGAAAAGGGCAATAAAAGATTTTATGAATTGATTAGTTGGGGTAATAACGGAAAAAGGTTGTTTGTTTGGACTTTTATTGATTTCAGTTAGTGACCTTTTCCATTCTTCAATATAATATATATAATAATTAGCAATTAATGTAATAACTTATAGACACTAAATTAATATGATTACTAAATAAAATATGATTAATTCTTTAATTAAAAAATAAGATAAAATAGTGAAAAAAAAGTCAAAAAAATGAGAAAAATGATAATTAGCAATGGAGGCCTTAGAGAGGTGCCACATCACCTTTTTTACATTTGGCTTTATATTATATATAGATTTGTTTGTTATTTTGATTTCTTTTCGAGATCAAACGACAACTATCTTCATCATGACCCTGGTGCTTACAATAATTGCAATACAAAGGTAGATTATCATATACAATATCCTGAAAAACCTCAATCAGCTTACCAGATTTTCCATCCACAAACTGCAATCTTATACGATTTGGAAGCTTTTCCATTAGATTAAGTATAACATTGACCCTAGTTGTGCTAGGTCTTGACTTGATTTGAGTAGCTTTATCTATAGCTATTGATTTCCCAACTACCGATGTTATAGACAACAGAGACTTCTTTGCAAACAAATCTGGAGATAAGTTCGGTAAAGAAATCCAAACCACAGCTAACGTCGTTTCCTCCTTAGGATTATATCCAATGGACCATGAAAAAACCCTACATTGCTGCTCCTCTCCATTGTAGAGAAGATAATTAACTGAGCGCGATAAAGCTAGTACATAATCTTCATATTAATCAAATCTCAACAAAAGTTGTCTTGGAGTAAGTAAGGCAATTAAACAATTGCCCTTGGTACCAAGATGTTTTGGTAAAATTGACTTTAATACCTTCAAATCTGGCGCACCATAGGATAATTTAAACACCACTGCTTGATGCAATCCCTCTTCAATCATAAAGTCTTGCCTTTCCTCCATTGAAAACGTGATAATAGGTTCTCCATGAATTATTTCGATTGATTTTCAGTTAATTAGAGCAGATTGTTTAGGATTTATAGTATTGGAATTGAAAAGGGTTGCGTATGTGGTGGTTTAGGGTGGTGGGGCGGGCTGGAAAGCCTCGAAAGGAAGCCGTCCAGTGGCCGTAGCATCCATGAGAGCTGCGCAGCTGCTCGCTAGGAAGGAAGCCATAGGTCAGCCGTTTTCCTTACGTAGCAGTGTTTGCAGTCGCCTAAAAAAACACTACTCTATATGTCCACGATTTCATTTTACTTTTAATGAAATAATTTATAGAAAAATTCTATAGCTTACTTTTTCAATGTCAAATAATTAGTCACTTTAATTCAAAACAAAATTATTACTATTACTTTAGAAATTCAAGATTAAAATTGATAATTATTTTTAATTATCCCTTTTAAAGTGTGCACAATATTTAAGAGAAAAAATCAATATATTTTTATTAAATAAGAGTAACTTAATAAATTAATTTATTATTTTCTTAATTAGTGTGACGAATGCTAATGTGACAATGGAAATGGGATGAAAAAGTCACTACTAGAAATTTGACCTACTGCCACGCATTTTTGGCGACACATTTACAACCGTTGCAATATATTATCTATTGCAACGGTTATGACTGTCGCAATATATCAAGGGATCAAATAGAACAATAATTAAAAATAACCGTGGCATCATTCTTACAACCGTTGGTATAGATTTTCTAAGGCAACACATTTTACAAACGTCGCACTAAAAGACTCTGTGGCAACGGTTATTTTAGTGAAAAAAATTATTTTACGTAACCCGCGAATTTATTCCCCAAAAATATATTTCCCTCCACTACTAGACTTTAGCTAAAGTGACATTTATTTCATTTAGGGTTAAAATTTTGGTCTTCTTCTTCCAAAAGGCCGATTTCTGAAAAATGGAAAGAATAACGTGAGCTCCGGTTAATGGCAGTACATTTCTTCAACAAGCTCCGGTCTTCTTCTTCTTCATAGTGAGGTAGTCTTCTTCTTCGGTTTGACAAGTCTTCTTCTTCATCTCCATTGATCTTATTCTCCAACAGTAATCTTCTTCGACCGCAAGCTTTTGCATATAAAGGTATACTATTTTTAAGTTTCCTCTGTCTACTCCATTATTCTAAGTCCCCATTGTCTCTAATTTGTTATGCATATAATATTTTGTATAATCTGAAACTCCATTGAAGGGTTTCTCAAAAGTCTAAAAGAATAACAAATGGGTTTGTTTGCAATTTATGTTATTTGTTCCAATTTAGGTCAGCGATGTAATCTATTTGTGATTTTGAGTTTGTATTTCTGATTTGTTGAAGATTTCTGAACTCTCTGTGAAAGTTCATCAAGAAGCTTTGTTTCAATTTTATTAGTATCATTTTGAAATATTGATTTTTCTTGTCCAAAATACAAAGATTCATCCTCTTAAACAGGGGTTATTTTCAGTTTTGTCTCAGATTGGAGACTCTTTTGCCTTCCGAAGCTCATCGAAATCGGCTCGTGGTCGTGGAAGCTTGTGGCTAGCTCGTGCTCAGTGTCGCTGCTCCAAAGAAGGTAATTCCTTTTCGTTGAATTTAGTTTTCAGTTTTCGGAATTATAGTTTAAACTCTGAATACTCTTTTATATGTTCAAGTTCCTTAGTTGAAATTTTGATTAATTGATCGATTTATGTGACTCAATCTGTTAGTATGTTACAATCTTACTGATTTAGTTTGCTTTCTATACTAGTTGATGCCTTTTCTAGTTCTCATTTCTGTTCCTTAGGGTGATTTGTGTTCCTGTTTGAATTTCCTTCAATATGAAGTGTGTTTCTTATATTAATGTATCTAAATGTGTTCATATTTTGAATCATGTACTCCTTATTTGATTATTTCAGATGTTGGTCTTGTTCTCTATAATGTTACGGTTCATATGTCAATGGATATAAACATCCATTATGACTATTTTGACTTTTTTCTGAATTAGTTTTTGAATTTGGCCTTCATTTTAATATCCAAGTTAATCTTGTTTTTAAGTTCAGACTGTACATTTTTCTCATTTGTGAAAGTCAGATCTTGTTTAAGGCTAGAGGACTCTTGATTTTAACTCTTTTAGTGTAATCAAGATTCTGTTTAAAAATCGTTTAAGCTATAACATGGGCTGGTGTTTCCTGTGTCTTTGTTTGTTGTGAATAGAGTCAGCACTTCGTCTAAATTCGCTTTTGACATCTTTCGCATGTGCGAGTTCGGGGCTTATTATAAGTAGAATTTAAAGTTTATTCTCTTGTCAATTGAATTTGTTAGTCTGGTTACATGTTTCCAGCAGTGTGAGTTATGTTCTTTGTCAACAAGCATTCTGGGTTGTTTCTGCTTAAGGTCATTTATTTAAGTGTCATTGCTTCTGATCAAATTTTTGAAGGATTGGTTTAGTATGTATTTGGTTAGAGTTCAGTCGTTTGTGCTTACCAAATTATGAAATCTGATAGTTTATCAATCTTGTTATTATTTTCTCTCGAATTGGTCAGTCCTACACTTCTTACATACTAGACGATCAACTGTATAAAATTAGTTTGATTTCATTTCTTATTCCATATTGTGGCAGCCCTATACCTTATATAAAGTCCTTGGAAATTGGATATACAGATTTCTAAAGTTTTGAATTTGCTAGACTCTTCTTTGTTTAGCTTCTGATGGCTTTTCTCTTAAAAATGACATTTTATATTTAGGGATTTTTTGAGAATTTGATGTTGAACCTTAGAGTTTCAGATCTGTTTTTTGGTAAACTGATTAGGAAATGCTAACTTTGCACTTGCAAGTCCTCATGATGTATTAATTTTTAGCTTGTAGATTCTGATTTACCTTATTCAGCTACAAGTGACTCATGTCATTTGGTTGTCCATTAACATGCATTAAAAACTCTTTACCTGTAAATTTTGTTGTATAAAGATAATGGACTGAGTTTTGTAGTTGATGTAAGATCAGCTTATGAAAATGAAATCAAGGACGAGCTCTTGAAGTTAAGCATTAGGTAAGGTTATGTACAAGCATTAACAAAAAAAACTTTAGGTCTGGACAGTACAAATAGCCTTCTTTGATTTAATAAATGCAAAAAGATATTGATTCCCCTGTTCCATTAAATTTTCAGCATGTTACCAAGTGTGAATTTGTTAAGTAATGACTGATGAACTTGCTCTAATTTTAAGAAAATCAATCAGCATTCTGGTTTTTCAGCAAAATACTAGAAAACTTGCATTCATTAATCATTTAACTACACTAAATATCTATTGTTTATGTTTCCTGTAGAAAATTCTTTCACTAAGGCTAACACTAAGTTATTCAAGATGAAACAATCAGATTGTGTGCTAGTTGAAACTATCTGATCTCATATTCTGGAATCTTTCTCATTTACTGGTGCTAGGTGCTAGATGCTTGATTTACTTCAAAGTAGCATTAGATGTAGCTAAAGGCTGGCATTTCTTCTTCTGCTAGTCCATCACTTGCTGACATTATTAGAAGCATTAGATGTACTACCATTACAGTTAAGTTAGGATGCTTGTTCAGAACTAATGTTCCATCTCCATTTACTGCATCATTCTTGCTTAATGCTGCAAGACTGATCACTTCAACTCCTAATTTATCAGCTCTAGGAATTAATTTTTCTATTTTTCTATTAATACCATCTGCTGCAAATGGCAAGACTACTAAAACTGAAGCGAGGGATAACCTGTGTTTAGTGCACGTAGCCATTTAGATAGTATGAAGTTTCAAAAAACTTGGAGTAGATCCACATGATTTTCTTCTAAAAAGAATCTTTGTTTATGTATAATTGCACTTTCTTGCTTTATGCTTATTTGCTATTGTTACTTTTGTTGTTGTTGTTGTTGTTCCATCAGAAAGTTAGATTTATGCAGTTCTACTGATAAAAAATGTGCTTTTTAAGTTCTTGGTGATTATTTGTTCAGATTTGAATAGTCATGAGTCAACAAGAGCCTTCAAAAGAAACAAAAGAGCAAAAAAAGAACTTCGCTAGACCTGGATCATTATCATTCTTGGCAAATAAAAAACGACGATTATTGACAACAAATAAAATTGTTCAAGATATAGAGTCAGAGAAAGGACATCTTCTAAAATTAATTGAAGAACAAGGTATGAAATTGCCCATTTGATATATTTGATTGGAGGAATATGAACACCAAAAGGATTTATGGGATTACACCAAGGTCTGAAATTTTCAATATTTAAATATATGTCAAAGT